CAAATATTTCGTATGTAATTGATATGAATATATAACATATTATGTATCAAATAATATATGGAGGTATGTAGAATATAATATGTAGCTATATATACGCATACAAATATTAAAATTAATCGTTTAGAGTAAGTTAAATTTTTCGCGCAACAATCATCATATTTAAATAATAAATTCATAATATCATATAATATTTAGTGTAAGGAATAAAAACAATAATAATATGCGTGTTTTACGAGCATATAATAAGAATAGTCAAATTTTGTGTTTTAAATTTTAATGGTTATTATGATAGTATAAAATATAAGTAATAGTATTAATAGGTAAATTATGTTTATTACGTGTGTGTGTGTAGCATACTAAAGTGTATTTAATATTTTCCCTTAAATGTATAATATGTTTTGGTATTTGATTCAAACCACGTACGATTAATACATTAATATTGTTAGTTTCAGCATTATATATTAAAAAAATTAATTCATTAAAATAGAACAATTATGTTGAAGATATTACACTTATCGTGTTATTTTGATTAAATCTTTTAAGTGGGTGGTCGTATACATGCAGTTTTTGTTCGATCTTGTTACTTCACAGTGCCACAGCCGACAACGAGACCACCCTATTCGAAAAATGCTGAATTTATCATACGAGTGCAATTGTGTGTATTTGTGTGCGAATTTATTAGGTCATGCCTATATTGATTTCACTTGTGCTGTACATAAAAATATTATTTTAAACATATGACGTATTTTTTTCCATATTATGCACTTCTAGATTACTTTAAGAGGAAATAATAATTTTTTGATAGTTAAAATAATGCATATTTTTATCTGTTTTACTTAAATTTATAATTTACACACATCTGTAAGTTTATGTACAAATTGTTACATAGTGTTTGTTTTTTAGGGTACCTAGTTAGTATAATTATAATGAGCTATTTAAATTTAAATTTGCTAGAAATGTAGTTTAAATACTTTGATACAATTTACCAACATAATTTAACAGTTATATTAGATAATTATTGTAAAGGAATATTTTCATAATTTATTTCAAGCAAATTAAATTTATAATATAAAACAATATAGATAAATGTGGTTACCAGTCTCGGCCATTTGACTACATTTTGCTTTTTATTCGAACACCAATATTTATAATCTCGTTTCTAAATAAGATTTGAATAATTTAATATTTTCATATTAATTCAAAAGTAGAAGAAGTATTTTTATCAAATCCGTATATCGCACGTGTCAAAATAGGTTGCAAGACGATTGCTCCCGTTTTACTTTTTTACATGAAAAATATACAATAGGATTGTGTTTCATGAAATATAGGTGTTATAATTTTAACAATTTTTCAATAAGCTATTTAAAAATATAAATAAATGGCATATTAAACATTTGTATTTTCTTAATATGTATAAATTAAAGACACAAATTTATGAAGACCAATATCCTATAAACTATAATTATAATATAATAAACAATTTTTTATATGATTTATAAGCGTAAATAAGTGTTTTTATATATTAATATTTTTAAATAGTGTATTGTGTGTAATAATGTCATAACATGAAACAATTTTTTAACAAAATCAACAATTTATTTTCGTTTTCAATCCTAATTCTGCAAAGGAAAATTATTAAACGAACAACACCTATTTAGCGCCATCATGTTATGTGTGTTTTTTGTAGCTGAAAAGGTAAAACGATCGCAATTGTGTTGTACGTAGTGTCAAAATTAATTTCGGCAATTCCATCAGTTTACTAATTATTTTAATACTTTATTATAAGCGTTATTATTAACTATACCATCTTGTAAAATATAAGTCGAAAAATTCTATAATGTTATTTATATTTTAGAAAAAAAAATTTACGCTTGATACTTCATCCCTTTAGTTAAACGCAATAAAAGTGCTTTATTTTTAACAACAATTATTTTACATTTATGATTAAAATTTTATTCAATTGAATAATAGATAATAACGTTTTTTATATCATTCAAGAGTCAAGTTTATGTTGATGGTTTATATAATTTTAGAAATGCAAATATAGTTGGAGTATAATATAATGTTATGCTACAGTTATAATTTGATATCTAGGTTGAAAGTAAAAATTTTGTAATAAGATAGACGTCGAAGAACCATAGAATTTCTACAGAACGAATTGAGAAAATGGATAAAAAAAATATTGAAATCTACTAGCTTATTAAAATAATATTATAAATTTCTTGTATTAAATCACATACTACACTTATGCTACAATACGTTTCACTTATTGAAGACATCAATGTAAAATATTGTCATACAGTAATTTTTGAAATGCTTATATAAAAAACTACTGTCGATAAATAATACCTATTATTTTCAATATTTATTATTCTAATATGGTACCACATATTTTTAAATGTATCAAATTAAAACATTAGTTAAAATTTATTGATAAGAAAGTTCTCACTCGATAAAGTTATTTTATAGTGAATTGAAAGTTATTAGTATAAATTTAAATAATCTGATTGATATCATACGATTTAATATAGTATATTTAATTTTAATTTTTTTTTTTTTTTAAAAATACATTGTCTAGATTTAGTTAGAACGTACTTAAAAAATTAATTATTCCGAATAATGTAATTTAATGTATTAAAATCGTAGTCATGAAAAAAATTTAAAAAATACAAGTACAGCAATATTTTTGGCAATACAACTGTCATTTGAACAACATAAGGCATTTATCTTTGTTTCGGTACTGATGATGACAACACTATTGTGGATATACAAGTTCCGTTATTTTTTTTTATTTTTTTAATATATTTTTTGTGGTAATAATTTAAAAACGGTTAAATTATCTTTGATCAATAAGTTATATTTAATCTACTAGTAGTAGGTACATAAATAATGACTAATTTTTTTTATAAATAATACAATATACAATCTAGTGGTTTAAACAAGTTTAAATGTTTTTTATACCTACGTGAAGTCTTCAAAATATATTTAGATAAAATTGTTTTTTTGCAATTAAAGATGTCTGAGTATATGTTATATTAAAATTACTATTATATTTATTATGTTTTTTTTATTAATTTTAATTTTCGTCTGATAGGCCTCAGGTGCAGAATATATAATAAATTCTTCACCACAAGTAGAATATATATTTGATAAAAATAATAAATAAAATAATAATACGTGAAATAATACTAATACTAATAAATAATAATCATAGCAAATTAATAATTTGAGTCATAATGATTTAGGTCAGATAGATTAATAAAGAAAAAATCTAAGTTAGAGAGAATAATAATCAATTAATATTACAATTTACAATGAAAAATTATACTTTAATTTTAGAATTAAAGTAAACACACGTACAATCATATTATGTGATTATGTTTTTTTCTGTATGAATTAAATTATATCGAAAGAAATTCTGCAAAATGTGTATGGTAAATTACCAATTATACATGATGTATTTATGTAAAATTATGTATATATAAATAAATTTAATATTGATCAATTTAAATTTGCTATTTTCACTATAAATTATATAATAGTAATTTCAAACAAACGTGGAAGATATAATTACATAAATATTATATTATTATTATAAGTGTGTAAGCCGTATAATATGCAATTTCTTATTAATTATTATCATTTTCTCTCTACCTATACTATTTATGTGCAGGTACTTTATAATTGAATTGGTATTTTTATCTAAGATAATGTTATAACTGATTTCATAATAGTATAGTTAGTGATTATAGGAAAATAGGAAAAAAATTTGCAATTTCATTAATTATTTCTGTATACATTTGATTTACATGAATATTTGTATGAACATATTTTCTTTGACTTTCTTGTTGGTTGTTAGGTGTCTTAGATCAAGGACATACGTGGACCTTTCTTGAATACCTTCTTTAAATTGTTATCAATCATGATGGGTTCATGAAGATTATTCTCGTCATATGAAAATTAGAACACCCGTCGTTGGTCTAAATTAAATCAAATATATACAATCGTTGAACAAATCTCAAATCATATTTCTGAGCATGAATTTCACATCGTCTACCTGAACGTTGACGGTGTTTAATATAATATAAACTACAATAACCTGCACAATGAAATTTAAGGTTCCTATATGGCTATATATTTGTATATATAGGTGTTAGGCATTGTAATAATGACATGGGCATGTATAATACACATTTGATACCCACCGAGCAAACCTTGTGCAGGAATAATAATAATAATAATAATAAAATGTATAATAATGAAACTTTTTTGCAGCCCAAAATCGGTGAATCGTCCGTGTCCGACCGACTGCGACGGCCACGTGTGTAATACCTACACGTTTTGGCAAATTTTTTTAACATTGGACGCGCCGAGGACAGCGGAGATTCGAGTGCAGATATACGCATATCTTATGTGTGTGTGTGTGTGTGCATGCGTGCTCTAAAAACCTAATTTCTCGACCAGCTGTTATCGCGTACACAGTAAGCATTACCTACACAATCATTATGATATTGCGATGATATGTTACACTATACGATATTGCACGTGCGAGATTTTACTACCTCGTCACAATTTTCCTACCCACCTCTTCACAACTCCTTCAACGTTTCAAATCGTCAAATCATCAAACGAATCATTACATGTTTAAGTAATACAACTGAAATTCGTATAACTATACACAGTACATTACCTGTACCTTATATATAATAGGTTTACCGGTGGGTGCGGTACGATTATCGAATTATATGCATTATTGCCGGGTTGTATGAACAATCACACAACATCAATAATGAGCTGATGGTCCCTTAAACATTATTTACGAGTATGTGGTTGGTCCATTAAATTTTAGTGTACCTATCATAAAAATAAATTAATGTATTTTTCATGCAACCCGGCAAAAGTACTTTTTATAAAATTGTATATTCACGTATTTGTGACATTTAAAATGTATTATATAATTGCATATAGTTTTATAGGTAATTGTATTTTGTGACATTTACCTGTGAATTCGAGAAATCTCTGGTAATGAGATACACTGTCTTGACGTATGTTCTTCATTCAAAACGTATTCGGGCGACGAGGGAAAAGAAACGAAACCGAAACGAATAAGCAAATACCTATCTGTTGGATTGTATACTTGTATATATAATATGTGTGTGGCGATACCTGCGATAGGTATATAATACTAATGGAAAATATGTATCAAACATAAATATATTGAGCGTTGTGTTGTGTATCGATGTCGGGAAAGATAGAAATGGAAACATAAAAATAGATACGAAGAATATGCGGACGGAAGACGACGACGACGCGCGGCACAGCGGGCGTGTGCGTGAAGTCCGTACGCGGGCAACCGGGTGGGCAGCCGGTCGGAGGAGTCGGTGCTGCTGAGCTGGTGTTCGGACGACTGAAGAGAGAGAGACCTGGCCGCGCGCTCGCAAGCCGCCGCGCCGTCGTCGCCACCGCCGCCATCGCCGACTGTGTCTGGACCGCAGCAGACGGGACCCCTCTATATAGGGTTACGCGCGCGGTCAATGGTGACCAAAATGGTGATCACGCGATTAATAAAATTATATTATTTTGTATTATTATTATTATTATCATTTTCAGATATTATCACACCATCGTATATTTGTATCCTTCTCGAGGCGCTGTCCTTATATTTCAGTAACGTTTCAAGTCGATCGCGGTCCGTAGCGGCAGCAACACGCTATTTAGTATTATAGCTCATCATTTTATTTCTCCACGACGTCCTACGTTTTTTGGGACATACGTCACTACCGCTCTTGACGAGCACCGTTGTAAGTATGTAGTCACAGTATCAGTGCCATAGCTGATATTTATGGATGGGGATGAAAGCGTATTTTATACGGTCTAGTCAAAATAACACTTTCAAATAATCAGTTTGATAAGCACACAGGTATCAAAAACACACAGTTGGGCCGGGTATAAATATATGTCAGTCTTATGGTTATAATTATATATTTTATTTAGATACAAACCAATCGGCCAGATATACGATCTCATGGTCCTAATTCCACCAGTTAACCTAACTGGGGGAGTTGAAGCCATTGAGCATATTTGGCACGTCCAGGACAACCAATAGTTGAGGCACTGCGACAGTATAGTCTCCACCGCCGTCATCGGATCCACACAACCCCGACGATCTGATCACTATACCCTCGCTAGGGGGGCGTCAAAGACGATCAGACTGTCTTATAGCGTTTTATTGCTGCGGAAACGTTCGTGGTCTATCGGGTTGAACGACCTACCGGGATGAACCCCTGTGAACCCGTATCTCGCGCAAGCGCGCGTGTACGTTTTTTTGTGTATCGCATATACGTCTATAAATATAGTATATTATAAGAGATTTCCATTCACGTGGCTAAGAAAGAATCGAATATATCGTCGTGTATGTGTGAGTGTGTGTGTGTATGTGTGTGCGTGTGTGTGCAATATGGAGAGTACAACACACATGCACGATCTCCTCTCTAGGTCAATCAATCGGCTGGCTTCATGTGCGTTCGAGTTCGCCTATTGAACTACTATACATGTACATTATATTATTCTATAGGTACAATTACATATTACCTATACAATAGTCTCGTCTTGCTATCACATGTGCGTGTAAAACAAACGCCGCCCATAGTATAGGTACATGTACGCGGCTGTAGGTGCAGCACGTGTAAAACCAATTTTTTCCTCCGTATCGTTATCGCTATGTCTATGAAGATTTAAAGACACGCACGCTTATGTACAATATAATATATACACACCTACATAACATTATAGAATGCTATAAACGAGGTGTCGGTGACTTAATCCTGTTTTTTTTATGTTACGCGTGATCCATCATTGTATATAATATACGGTCGACGAGAGTATAATATTATAGGTAGTTAAACATGTGCAAACATGTTATGTAGTTATAAGTGTTCCGCGAGTACCACAACTGTTTATACTAATTTGGAGGGGTGTCAACTTTTTTTAGATATTATGTATGTAACTTATATCTAATATCTAAATTATTACTTTGGTAGGTAGTGATATTTTTTATTTTTTTTTTAACGGGTTTGGAAGGTTTTAACCCCCAAAATCACCCCTCGAGTATACGGCTTGTCATACGAATATATATATGTATATATATATATATATATAGACGTTTACAATACAGTATATTATGTAGGTATAGGTGAGTTATATCGTAACTATACGCTATTGAATATAATATATTATTGTACGCGATATTGGAGAATAGTTATATACAGTTGAATATAGTGTCAATGCAAGACAGTGTGTATCCACGTGCGTATACAACACGATATCTATGCGAGGGGTGTGCGTGTGCGTCTATGTTTCGAACCCCTGCAGCGTGTTTGACCACCAGCTGTACTGTGTATGCCGTCCAATTATTATATTTAGTGGTCTCCATTAGAATCCGAATATACTCGTCTGAATGTAAGTTTGTTACATAATGCCAAAAAATAATACAATAGTAGATAATATCGAGTGTATTTACCGAATTAATAATATTTGTGAAGCACTATAATATAAATATATATATATGTATATGTATATATATACAGTCGAATTCGCTTATTACAATGCCGTATATAACGATATTCCGAGTAAAACGATTCCAAGCAATGTATTTAGTTGGTTTTATATCTTATGTGTAGCTACTTTTTAAGATATAACGAAGTTCGGTTTTAACGATCAGATTCTCTAGATCCCTTGAAGATTGTTAAAAGCAAATTTTACTGTGTATTTATATATATTATTGTTATACATTTATTGCACGATTTAAGTACTATTTATTTTATTAAATAACGTTATTTAATATAGTTATACTTCAACTGTGACTTAAATAATTAATAATATAACTCTTATTGGCAGTTTTAGTGTGCCGTAATACAAAAATGGAAATGTGTGATATAAATTTATATATTTATATAGGGTGTGATTATCACCGAGTTAAAGTTTTCCAAAAACAAGTGTTTATCCTCTCATCTCATAAATTCGACATAATAATATTATGTACAGAAAAAGTGTGAAGTACGTTTAAAAAAAAAAAAAACGAGCTGGTCGCTGATATAATATGATATAATATTATACACGTATAATTTTTATAGCTAGTACTAAGGATTAACAGTATTATAGTTCTAAGGTTAATACCAATGTCAACCGATAAACCGGCATTTAAATTTTCAGTATTTTCGATATTTTAGTTTTTTCGTACTTATCTCGATAAAAATTACACATCATAATTCGCGCAAATCGTAATATTAAAATTTAACAGGAACTTCTACTTCAATTCTGAAATAAAAATAAAAACAAATATTTGTTATTCCGTCACTTCAATACGTTCAATGTCTAAAACATAACCACGTAATATTTTATACTTCGGTTGGAATTAAATAAAATGGAAATACCTAGTTCTTTTATTTTGTATATTTATGATATATAGGCACACATATTGCGTTAAGAATACGATTTTAATAATTGTTTGCTATTATTTCGTAAATTATATTTAATTTGTATGACTACTAAAATACTAAATTAATCTCTAAAAATTCAGTAGAATTTGAAGTCATGCAAAGAGATATTATAGGCTATTTGCATTTAAAGATTATAATATAGCGAATGGGGATTGTTCGTATATATTTTTGTGCCATGATAAAAAAAAAAAAATAACGATCAAATATTGATTATGCTAAATTTTTTTTTATTTTTCTAATGAAAATTATGATGATTATGTAAGATAGAATTACATATTTTATAACATGATAATTCTTAAAGTATTTACTCGTAGTACTATTATTTATTAAAAACCTTTGTTAAATTGCGATAATTTAGTTATAATACGCTTCATATGCTAAGATTAAGTAGTATTATAGGTATTCAACAGCGTATAAACAAACTATATCATACATATTGTAAACTATTGTTATAACTTATAACTTTTAAGTAATAAATAATTAAAGACAACGCAATTGTATTTATTATAATATAATAAATAAAAATAATATGCATAATACATTGCATGATGTACGCGCACGTGTGAAAACGTTATGTATACATAATACATTCATTTACTAAATAAATGCAATAGGTATACATATATATATATATATATATATATATATATATACAAACCAGCGTTAACCTGAACGACTGATTACTATTGTTTCATTGATAAGCGGAATAATGTTTGTAATATTCATTGTATGAATAATTTCTTTGTATTAAAAAATGTTTAATTATAACTTTGATTTAGATGTGGTGTACTTACAATTTTTTTTTGTTTACACCATTATGAATCACATAATATGATTTTTTTTTATAAAAAATAAGTAAAATATTTTTAAAATAAATATCATAAAGCGTAGGTATAATTTTTAATTTATCATTTAAGAATATGAACTTTGAAATAGTAGTTTAGCACTGTACTTTTTTAAAGAAAATTGAAGTTTTCAATTTTAAAAGTGCTTCGAGTATACAAAGGACGTTTCAAAAGGAAATTATGTGCTATTTATTCATATAACAAGCTCCGAGTGATTAAATTAACACAATATAACATGTAATTTGTGAGATATTTATTAAAAGAAGATTAACGATATTACAATAAATGATAATATACTTACATGAAAATATTAATTGGTATATTAATAAAGAAAACGTTAAAATACGAATGTATAAATGATACTTGATAGTGTATACAATGTAATGTATAATTTATTGTTTATATTATAAATGATAAATAATATTGCTTGTTTGTTCTATTCATACAATAATGCATATTCATTTAATATTTATACAAATATATGTGTCTATTGAAAATTGTACAAAGTAATCTCAGAATTTTATTAAATTATTTTTAATAGTTTAATGTTAATAGGATGTCAGCGTACTATTTTTTTCTTTGACTCACGATGAACAATATGGAAACTTTGCTTAGCAAAACCAACTTTATGTTGTTAAATTTAGAATCAGAGTAAATTTACTTATTATCAAACTCAAAGCCAGGAACTTAAATTTATTTTCTTACGTTGAACATTTTCAATATTTTTATTTTTATGCCAGTTACGAATATGTAAAATGTCAAAATTTAAAAATACTCATTACTAGCATTAAAATTTAAATATTGTAATAAAACCAACATTGATAATGTTCTTAATTTTAGGTTTGATTATATGTTAATTCTTTTAAATACTAAAGCTAACAATTCAAGGTTTGAAAATAAAAATAGCGCACTGATATCCTTTTATGACTTAACGTCATTGTTGTATTAGATAATTGGTATTATCTATTATCTTAATTCCTGAATATTATTAAATTATTTGCTGTTTTAATAAGATGATAATAACTTATTCGAAGTTTATTTTCTTCTTTTAGTAAATACTTTTTGAAGCCTTAATGTTTGGAATTTTGGATAATCATAATTTTA